TTAATAAAATATTATTGAAATATTAATGAAATTATAATGAAATTTTAATGAAATTGTGTCAAAATTGTAAATGCTTTTCAAAAGCATTTCAGCAAAAGTTCGTTATATTTTCAATAAATTATTTCCATCAGATACAAATATCTCAATTGAGATCTTACATGCGAATTTGTGCGAAAACCGCATTTGAGAATTCAATTAAGAATTCAACTGAGAATTGAATTGTCAATTCTACCCACACGGAACAAAACCTCCATTAGACGTCCACAGATCATCCATAGCTCCATCAGACATCTATCTCCACGGTGGACGATAAGTGGATCTCTAATGGACATCCATAACCCATCCATAATGTATGTCCATGTAACATCCATCTTAGATGTCCATTAGAAATCTATAATGGATGTACTGCTTTTTGAACTTCCATCGGACATCTAGTACACGTTCTAAATGGAGATTCTATGGAGATTATGGACATACAGTGGATTTCATATGGAGTTTTACTGGAAGTGTTAGTCCGGGTCTACATTCGGTGTTTTAAGTCATAAGACTTAAAAATTGACCAATCACAGTCCAATTTTAGAAGAATAATCGACTGTGATTGGTTAGTTTTTGAAGCTTAAGACTTAAAACATCGAATGTAGACCCGGACTTATGGATGTTTTCTGGATCGTTATGGGCAATTTCTAGAGGTTGGATGAATTTTCGGAGCTCGTAATTTTAATTCATTCTAATAAATGAAAACAGCACGGATATGTATAACAAAAATGGTTTTTATTTATTTTTGATGAGAAAGGATGCCATACATTAATACATATCAATATATATTTCAAAATAATAATATAATACAAGATACAAAAATATTCGCCGTATAATAAAAAAAAACTTATTCAGCAATATACCTGAAACATAAATCGGGAGATTATGAATCAAACAGATAAAAAAATATAGATGGTAGTAAATATATGGCTATTAGATAAAGAATTCTGAAAATAAAGTGGAATAAGTTGTTCTTACATATATGACTATATAAAAATTGTAAAATATGTGAAAAAAATATTTTTTTGGTATAACGAAGCCTCAGAAATGCACATTAATGTGCGATATGCGTAAAAATCGCAAAATTTGAAATGTGTCTCATTTCATCATTGGCTTTTGAATAAAGAATGCTGAAAATAAAGTGGAATAAGTTGTTCTTATATCTATGACTACATAAAAATTGTAAAATATGTGAAAAAAAACTTTTTTGTGTAAGGAAGTCTCAGAAATGCACATTAATGTGCGATATACATAAAAATAAAAAACTTTCAAATGCTTTATTTCATCATTGGCTTTTATATAAAAAATAATGCTGAAAATGAAATTGAATAAGTTGTTCTTATGGCTACATATTTTGTTATAAACTACTATAGCAACTATTTACTTGTTAGAAATTACTAACTTATATACTTACAAACTATTAGATATTTTATCTAAAAACATAAATTTAACGAAAATAGCAAAATATATAGGATACCTTGTTACCATACCTTTTGACACCGTATTAATTTAACATTTCATACCTGAAGAACTGCTTCCATATTTGATAAGCAACAATTTTTATACTTATGTTACGGTATCTATGTTGGTCTCTCCATATGAAGTTGTGCAACGTTTCTCCTCGTTGTGATGTCTTGCCTTTGAATGCCGGAACCATTCCATTATTCTTCGCTGAATTCTTTCTTGATCAGAATCAACCACATTCTGAAGAACAGATCCTAGGGAAATAATTGTCATGAAATATGATAACAATCTGATGTAAGATAAACGGCCCACTTTTCTCTAAACACTTATTCATACTCTTTCGATATATTTTCATTTTATAAATTTCCCTGAGCATAAAATGTCATATTGAATGTCGGTAAGGTAAGTATCAAAGCGCTACTATATATCATAGCTGCGTTCGGGGAGACACTATTTGGCGCTATGAACGTGTTCTGTCCTTGTTACTTACAAAAAATGGCACAAGGACAGAACACGCTTTTAGCGCCAAATAGCGTCTCCCCGAACGCAGCTTATATCATTTTCGAGATAATATTTTACGCTCAGGGAAAATAATAAAATTAAAATATATTCGAAGAATCAGTAAGAGAGAGAGAGAGAGAGAGAGAGAGAGAGAGAGAGAGAGAGAGAGAGAGAGAGAGTGGTTCAGCGTGAGAAAGTGGGCCGTTTACCTTATATATTCTACATTATATATCTAAAAATATTATTTTTTTATTATGTTCTATTATATTTTCTCCAACGATTCCTCTTGGATGATGACCTTAAAGGGATTGCAGTAGAATTAAGAGAAAAATATTCTAAACAAAAAGATATTATTTTTCCTTATAGGAGATTACCAGATTCCCTATAAAGAGGAATAATATTGTGTTTAGAATATAATTTCTCTTCATTTTATTAAAAATCTCTTCAAGTCGATATCCAAGAGGAATTCCTTTAAAAACAAGATTCAATGTTTTGGATGTATACACCCGTGCACAATAATTCGTCCCGAACTAGATGTAGCAGGTCAAGTCCGAGAAGTGTCTACCCTGATCTGTCTACAAGAATTATGCATTTTTTGAGCCACATACACATGTATAATTCTTGTAGATAAATCAGAGTAGGCAATCTTCGGAATTGACCCACTAGATCTGGTTCAGGACGAATCATTGCCCGGGTGCACGGGTGTATTACTTGATAAAAACGCAAATTTTTATATAATTATATTTTACTTACTGAAAATTACTTTCATAATTTCTAAGTTGTGCAATGGCTCTTTTCCACGTCGGCCTTCCCAATTATATCTTTCCGCTAAACTGTTTGAGAATATTTTGTATAGAGCCCTCTTCACGGCATCATCAACGTTGATCCCACCTATGGATCTCACATATGCGCGCTGTATAACAGAAGTATATATTATTATCTTACATGAAATTATAAAGTACAGAGAAGCACTATGGCAGAAAGGGAAGGGAAGGGGGGGGAGGGAGTGAGAGGGAGAGAGAGAGAGAGAGAGAGAGAGAGAACAGTATAATATAAGTTAATATGTATAAACCTACTATTGCTTCAGCGCTTTGGGAGTTTCCTTTTAAAATTTTTTCAACGTCCGCTATTTGGGATTGTGTCTCCAAAGGGAATAATTTTTCCACTTGTTCAAAAGAATATCTCGGGTTCTGCGCTTTTTTCTCTCTTTCATTTCTTTTTACTAAAATATCCAAGAGGGCCAATGCATGTTTGACATCATATTTTATTATCATCATTTCTCTGCTCAGTTTTTTTACATGGTCCACTGTAAATACAGATTACATTCTTAGTACATCCTATTTATTTTCTTCTATTTTTTAAGAGTCGAAATATCATTTCAGCTTACCGATCGTTGCTTGTGATGACTGATGATTGACATTATCATTAGAAAAAATAATCTCCCTCTCTCCAATATTCTGCCTGTCATGAAATGAGTCACCTTCTTGGGATATATCGGCATGTATCCTCGATCGATTTGTATCTTCCAAATTTGAACGCTCTTTAAAGTTGTTGTGAACTTCTTCCTCTCTTCCATGTGACGAACAGTTATCCGCAGCTACGTATAGAAAATAAAAGAAATATTTAATCAATTATTATATAGTTTATTACTATTCTCAAAATTGTAATTGAATTACATTCAAGTTAGAGAATTAGATAATTTCTATAGAAATTA